ACATAGCTTTCAAAGACTTCCAGTGTTCTTCCACACAGGTTTCTTCACGGATGTTCCTCGATATCTCCCATTTTGTCTTCATGGCTGCCTTGAAGATCTCCTTTGTAGTTTCATCCTTCAGTTTCCGAGTGTTGTACTTGAACTGTGGTCTATCACCAGCTTCCTTGAAGGCCTTCAACGTGAATTTGTAGGTCGCTTGCGCCAGATAGTGAGTGGTCTGAACCTACATCTGCTCCTATTCTTGACCTTGTGTTAAGTAGACTGCGTCGCCATTTTCTAGAGATTGAGATAAAGTCGATTTGATTTTAGTGTGTCCATCTGGTGAAATCCATGTCGCTTTGTGGATATCCTTGTGCCTGAACACACTGCCTCCAATCACCAAATCGTTGAATGCGCAGAATTCTGCAAACAATTCTCCATTCTCGTTCATTTCACCTAGCGCCTCTCGACCCATGGTTAGTTCTCTTCCTGTGTTGTCCCTCCCAGTTTGGCATTCATGTCGCCCATTAGAACTTTGATATCGCCAAATGGCGTCTTGTCCAGTGTTGATTGAAGTTGTCTGTAGAAATCCTCTTTTTCTCTTGCTCTGCATTATTTGTAGGTGCATAGCATTGTATGATTGTGACCTATCTTCCTTTTGAGTTGAATCTTACTGTCATGATCCTGGAGGAGATTGGTTCCCACTGCATGAGAGCCTTCGATGCTCTTGGGGACATCATGATAGCCACTCCCTCAGTGTGCTCGTGGTTGTCGTCTGGGTGACCGGAGTAGATTATTGATTCTCCAGTTGACAGTTTGGAGAGTCCACTCCCATTCCATCTGCTTTCGCAAATCCCAAGCACTTCGATGTTATACCTTCTCATCTCCTTTGCAATCTGGGCTGCCTTACTGGGTTCAAACAGCGTGCGGACATTCCATGTCCCCACGTTTACTTTCGCTTTCATTGAGGAGAGAAGACACATCGGCCAATTGGCTTCACGAAGGCTTTCACCAACTGGCGTCATTTCGCCTCTCCGATTCCAGCGGGGAATAAGTTTGTTTTCATTTTTATATTTTGTTTGTGCTTTGAAGTTTCTTTAGTGGTTAGATTTGTTTTACGGTGTAGGGTTGCTAGCCCTATGCCCAACCTTCCCTCTTTACCCGGGCTTAGGACCGGCTAGTAACTAGTGAACTAGTTAACCAGGCGAGGTTCACTCAGACATAAGCGTATCATAAATTAAGTGGTGATTTGGAAATCTGATATATCGTGCTCTTATTTACTTTCAACATAAAAATAATAAATTGATCTTGCGTTCCTTCCAATCTGTTGGATACTAACAAAGAGAAATCATTTTCACCTCCTGAATAAATCTTAGTTAGTCGAAACAATGCAAACTAGCAAAATCCATAACTCACTGAGCAATTCACGTCAGCTCTCTTCTTCCCTTTCTCAATACTATGCTTTGTTTGGTGTTCTTTCTTTTTACAGGAGGTGTACGTAAAAATATTTTCGATATTCCAGTTTGAGTAGTTCAATAAAACCCAATATTAAAATTCATATTCAATTATTCAGCAAACTTTACTACAAGTCTTGCTTGTGAGTCTTTATATTATACTGATGGGGGTGAATTCTTTTCTAAAATGATGGAGAATATTCGTTGTTCAGGTGGGTGGTCTTGGTTGTATTGTGTTCTCTGAGCTGGGTTGTTTAATCCTGGAGCTTTCACCGTTTTGCTAGATGGCATCATCACCACTAACTTCAGTATAAACTGACCTATCAATATCTCTCCGTAACTGACTTAGTAGCTTGCCCTGAAAAACTGGTTTTTGATTGGTTTTTTACTTTGATTGTTGTGTCATTGACGGCATAGATTTTCCTTCTGTATGTTCTTCTGCTTCACCTCTGACCTTTCTATCGTTTATCAATTTTGTCATTGGTTGATAAATTGGGTCTGTCTATGTATCTATTGATTGCTGACTGACTGACCTGACTGCCAAGCTTCTAGGAACTCACTGATATTCTTTATGTTTCCCCTGTCCAAAATTTTTACATTGTCAAAATTGAATTCATGTTCATAATTATCCACGTGCATTGAAATCATCGATGAAATGTCGTATGTGACGTTTAATAGCCAATTGGTGTTCACGTGGACGCCTTCGTCTACATCAATCACAAACCAGTTCATCAGAGCAAGCTACTAAATCCTTTACGGAGAAACACTGACACCTCACTTCATAGTGAATTCCTTTCTTCTCAGTTTAGCTAACAATATCACTAATATATGGTCGAAACTCTAAATTTTATTGAAATGTTATTCAATGTCTTTATGCATTCCAATTTAGTTACTAGAAGGATTATCAAGCAGTGATGAAGTCAATTAGTTTAGTGATGAAACTTCTACAATCAAGTAACAGAATTGAAAAAAAGCCAAAATAAATTGTCATTTTCATCCTGAGATATACGTTTCTACCAGTGTTTGCTTATTTCTATTTTAAGGTGAGGCTATATATCGTGATAACATTTTGACCGACTTTTAATACAATACTATCATTGTCTTCTGACGCTGGTGATCTTGACACCCCTAAGCAATCCCTCTAAGATTAATTCACACCGATAGCTTTCCTATTTATATTTAGAAGTACATGAGCATTGAAACCTACAACTAGATGGTATGAGTACATAGGAACTAATTGTGCCAAATAACAGGTTTTATTCAACTAGGACATCTTATCTGTTGCGTATCCAGTCAAAATACACGACAGAGGATCGTAGTCTTCAGATTATGTAAATCTATTCAAACATAATCGACAGAATGGTATCCCTCCATCATACGCCTCCCGGGTAGTACCTGCTACCTTGACGTGTTGTTCGAGCTTGTACATCCCAATGACCCAACAAGCTACACTGTCTGAGACTCTTGACCTCTGAAATCCTACCACGCCGAAAAGGTCAGCTGGATAATAGTTAGACACCAGTTACCGTTGTATTGTAAATTGCTATACTACGATAGAGGTCGTAAAGCCGGACGCTCATGAATGCGGCAGCAATAAGGTGGTTCCCTTGGATGACCAACAGTCCCATGCTGCCTTTCCTATGAGAAGAAGCGTTAGAAAAGCCCTATCTTAAAAATAGTACACCACCTACCGTCCCATTTTCTTCCGCTGCTGGTAGTATAGGCATTTTTTATCCGGTGTTAGAATAATCACATCTTACACTAATAGTCCTCAAAAGGTAATGTGTGACAGGCCTCAAGTGGATATCCGATGGATTCTACTGTCACATATTTCTTTTTCTTTTTCAGGTACCTTAAGGAGTAATATAGCCTTTTGGGGTGTGGGCAGCCGAAAAGTGTCAACCGCCTACACACTTCCAGAAGTATAATCTCACTGAATTATTTTACAAGTCAGTTGTACGCTAGTTGGTCTGAATTATCATTCTACACAAGAACAACTTACTAGTTTGGAACTACAAATGCATCATCATCATCATCATCACCAGGTACTAACTAGTGAAATCAAATTTAGATACACGTCGATTTCTAGTTGTATTCAGAAGATAAGTCAGTGAAACAGAGACTCCAATATAAACTGAGAAATTGGTTTAGTTTGAAAACCGTATTGATATTAATTTAAGCATATGATATTCACATTGTCTACAAACATTATTCCAAACCATCACACTTCACAGAAGATTAGGATGAAATAAAGTTTAAAAAATAACACTTATTTTCAGACCGAAAAACAAGGATTCTAATTATCCTCGACAGTTCAACAAACAGTTCTGTTGTATTTCGTAAATTTACCTATGCACAAAGAACAAGATCCGGATTTTCAACACCAATTCAGTCAAGTCAGTGCTTCTATATCGTTCAGAAACTTGGCGTGTCATGAAAAGTATTTCCAATACACTACAGATATTCATCAACAGCTCCCACCTACCCTGGCTCGATACTGAAGATCAGATGGCCAGAATAATAAGAATAACCAACAAGGAACTCACTCCGGCTGGCAACGAACCAAACAAGAACCTATCGCCCAACAAATATGCAGAAGAAGAAAGTGGAGATGGATTAAGCATACACTGAGAAGGCCGACTGGGGACATCACACATCAGGCCCGACAACGCCACCGAGTGGAATCCAAAGGGAAAACAACGAGTTGGGCGTCCCAGCTGAGGGTGGCATGGAGGAGATCATGTGATGAAGAAATGAAAGCCTGTGGGCAGTCGTGGTGCCAGGTTGAAAAGACTACAGAGAAGAGAGTGTACGATGGAGGCGTGCTACTGAAGCCTTATGTTCCACTAGGAACCCAAGGAAAAAATAATATAATAATGGTTGGTGAATTCAGATCGAAATAAGGTGATAGAGTAATCGATTGTCAAGGTCATTTCGATCTGTCTACTACCAAGTATTGCTGAACTATTCAAATAGTCCCAAGCTAATCGACTTACACAGAAGTACTTTCGCCTTCTGGCTATATTACTAGTAATAGGGACATTAGGCTTCCTAATCCACCTCAATTTTCAAAGAAACATAAACTTAATTCAAATCATCAATGTAACCCTACAAGTTTATCTACACGTCCATTAAATTGTACAGTTCAACATGCAAATGCTTATTCCAAGGAAGTATTCTTCACCTTATTTACTCGATGATTACGTTGATTTAGTGACAGAGTACAGAGTTCAAGGTAAGTTATTTGTCATGCATCTTAAGGTCATATCCTGGTTTGATATTGTTGATAAATTAAATCAATCCGATAAATAAAACATTTTTGATGCACCGAATAAGAAACCTAACGACAAAGGGAACAAAAATCTCAGAATCTTATTCACTTTGTACTACGAACTGAAAGTATCCGGAATTCTTTTGCGCTGATATCAAATTTATAAGGCACGACGGTACATACGTAATATGCAATAAACTTACATTTGCTAAATTCTCATCTTTACGAAAATACACAAAATACTGAAATGAAAATAAGAAAAAGTGAAGCAAATTTATTTTATTTTTTAAACTTACTCGAACTTCATTTAGAAATGCAAAGTATAATCTAGGTGGACGAAACACCTCAGGTGATTTCATCGACCGAATTGTGTCCATAAATTTGAACTACTAGACCATGACTTTCTAAATGAAATAGTGTTATCTGTAAGACGGTGTTTATTCCAACAACAAATACAATCACTGGTAAGGTTGGCTTCATCGTCTTTCGAAATATTACCACATAGTAGGCGAGCCCAGTGAAACTTTGCTGCAAAATATGCAGGTGAAGGATTCCAAGGATTGGATAACACTTTCTCAAAAGAGAACTAAAAAATGAAGTGGAATTTTTTAACAAGAGACAGAATATTAGGGTGAAGTACATGAAATTCAACTTATCACACAATTCGTTACAGTACAGCTGGGAATTAATCGTACTGAAATCTAAATAGATCAAATTTAATACTTATAACACATCCACAACTATGAACAAACAGTAACTATAGCTAAAAGTTATATAGTAACAGATGGTGAGGTTGCAATGCTGCAGAGTAAACTAACCAATAAACAACTTTATCATTAGAAACTGAACATTAAAGCTATACGATATCGACACTGTTGTAACAGGAATAAATTACGATCCAGTGGTAACCATTTTTCAACTCCTAAGGATTTACAGTATAACATAATAATCTTGTAATATTGGTAGAGACGGTTTGAATTTATTTCGAATTCACTAGCTCTACAAGTAATAACTTAACATTAGAACTTAAAGCCCTACTAGTCCAAGACGGTTTCACTTTTAAACAATAGTTGTTATCCAAGTTATGTGACTGACTCAGTGATACTTTTAACAACGAACTAAATCTTAGATTATAAAAATCCATACCATAGTTGTTAAGAATGTCCTAGAAGAAGTTAAGCGCCGAGTCTGATTGGATCATTATAAGAATATATTTCAATATAATCCTAGAGTGTTTAGGAAATCAAAAGATGAGTAGATGATTGGCATGTCAAGGCAATTATGTTGGAGAAAGTTGTAGACCCCAAAAAGTTAGGCGAATGAACACAAGTTATGTATGGACCATCCACTGAGGAATCAATAGCTATGAATACAATCGAAAGTGGACACATAATTGACTTTGAGAATGTAGATATATTGGGAAAAGGTTTCGATTCCTATAAAGAAAGATTAACTTTTGAGGCCATGTATATTTTAACAACATCAAATGCTGTAAAAAGAAAAGAAGGAATAGATTTGTCACCTGTCTGGCAAACATTAATCCGACAAAATCATTAATGATGACCTTTTCGAATCGAAGCTACAATAACAATGACAATTATTGAAGTTGCATAAATAAGTGTATAAAAAACAACATATATTCTACAACATGCATAAATATACACACATATACTTTGACTATTTTATATATTTTTGAAATGAATGGGGATTTTTCAATTTAGCGGACTGACATCAATTTGGAAACCATTGCAAATCTGGGAGTATTGAACAGCTGTTTCATCCTAGTATGGGACACTCCTCGGCAGTACACACCTACGACCGGGCTAGCGATCGAACTTAGGACCTTCAGGTTTCACGGCAAAAGCATTCACCATTGTCACTGGGTCAGTTTTCAGTGGTTCACAGTTCCCAACTTCTGTCAATTCATGATACAGTGCGACTATCACCCAAGGTATTCAATTAGCATCCACTACCCTTCATTGACAAATGACAATAACAAGCATGAGTTTGCAATGACTAATCTTAATTACTCAAGTTGGATAGAAAAATCATCCAACCAATGATCTACGTTCATTTGATGTATCATTTAACTATATATTTTGATGTCAATAAAAATCCGTATATTTTGCTAAAGAAGCTGTAGCTTACACAGCAAAACGTTCAGAAATGTCTTGTTTCAGTTTTTTAAATAGGATAGGATTATATTAAAATATATTTTTATAACAAGTTGGCAGAAGAGGCAGCGAAAACGGGACTTCAGGTGAATATAGAGAAGACAGAAGTGATGAAAATACCGCACCAACAACAACAACAAACTCCAGTCACCATCAACGGGAGAAACTTAAAGGAAGTAACCTCCTTCACCTATCTAGGAAGCACTGTTTCAACTACAGGCGCCACAAGCACAGACGAGAATGTCAAAGTCAAAATCGGAAAAGCAAGACGCGTTCATTAGCCTGAAACCAGTGTGGAGATCTTCTGCACTCAGCATGTGGAACAAGATACGGATTTTCAACACCAACGTCAGTCAAGTCAGTGCTTCTGTATGGTTCAGAGACTTGGCGCGTTACGAAAGGGATTTCCAACAAACTACAGACATTCATCAACAACTGCTTACGCTCGCTACTGAAGATCAGATGGCAAGAAAGAATAAGCAACAAGGAACTGTGGCTGTCAACGGACCAACCAAGAAGCTATCGCTCAACAAATATACAGGAGGAAGTGGAGATGGATTGGGCATGCACTGAGAAGGCCAACTGGAGTCATCACGTGTCAGGCCAGTTGCTCGAGTGGAATCCCCATGGGAAGCGACGAGTTAGACGTCCGAGGAGGAGATCGTTCGAGGAGGAAATGGGAGCTTCTGGGCTGTCGTGGAGCCAGGTTCAAAAGATTTCAGAGAACAGAGTTCACTGGAGACGTGCTACTGAAGCCCTATGTTCCATTAGGAACCCAAGGGACTAATAATAATAATATATTTTTATAATAAATAGTAAATGAATAGTAAATTACATTTTCTTCCTAAAAGTCTATACATAACCTTTGGAAATTATAGGGAAAGTAAACATGCGAAGAACTGGTAAATAGATTACTTTTAAACAATGTTTACGGTGAAACATGGAAATCAAAGCTATAAATTAACTATAAATATCTTCAAAAGTTTTGTATCGACTAGTTTCCGCCATATTTTTACAAAAATATACTCGTATAACTCTTTAATGTCGACACTGATATCCATATCCAAAAAGGTATGAACACTACCTGTGATTATCAGTAATCAGATCTAAAGTTGAACACAACAGCTTTGTGTATTAAGCTGAAAAGTCTTATTAAAAATTATATTTGATTTATTTACGCAACAAATTTTCAGTTATCAATTTACTAGTTCAAAATTCCTACTTTCCTATAATTGAGTAAATTTATATTGTCATCAGCAGTGTATATGGTTAAAAACTTAGTTAATCACATCAGTGATTCGACAAATTTTGGTTCTCAAATATTACAATTTCAAGTTGTACTCCATCCCCTCCCCCTTATCAATGCCAATTCACAATGAGTTGTAGCAAACTGATCCCGAATGAGTTCATTCATACGTAATACATAGACACGAATGAAAGCTATTTCATCTAACTATACTTATAGAGTAAACTTGACAAACAAATTCCACTTCAGATAACCATTCAGTTTGAAAATGTACAACCTACACTAAAAATACTTAACAATACATCTAAAAAAATTCCTTCAGTGAACGACATTGGAGATTTTGTTCGAGTATGTCGAAACATTGCGTAACAGTTCTATAATGTTTAGGATACATTTTTCATTCCGAAAATACAAATTATCATTTCAAGACTGCTCTGTATTGATGTTCTTACTTAAAATATGTAGTGAAGTAGTTAAGTGAGTTGACTGCCTCACAAATTTGGGAAGCCACATCAACCCTGGTGGGTCAGTAACCAATGGGATCTCAATAGAATTTTTAAAAAAACTTCGATGGGCGTTTGTCAACGTATACGAGTTGAAACATCTTTGAGATATCCGAATGCCTACTAAGGATCAAGTGTATTACTGCATGACAGTTCCCTCTGTCTTACTCTACAGGGTATGCCCAATGAAGGTAGATGAGATGAACTTGTAGGCATTTGATCACCGTTTCTTTCATACCATTTTCCACATGTCGTGGAACTATCAAGTTGGGAGAACAGGTTAGAAGTAGAGTCCTCGGGAGAACAAATGACTAAATCTATCAATAAAATTGAACACCTTTCTCAACTTAGGTGGTTGAGGTATGTCTTACGTTGACGTAGTCAAATCTACCTTTATGCACTTGGGTTGAGAAAAAACTGAGGACGATCAGACTAAAACAGTATTACCGAATGAAATCGTCTCATTCATCTTGGTGACTAATGGTCGAATACAAGATGTGTATTTCGTACAACTTGGGGCTCGTCAGTTTGATGTGCTTGTACCCCAATGATTGATGTTATTTCTACTGAGACGCTAATCTGTTACCCATCGCTTCAAACGCCAAGCGTTATCCACTAGGCAGCTGAGGCGCAATAGCTACTTGTTGTGCAGCGGGTGTCGGTTGTTAGTTTCATACTTGTCATTTCCCGTGTCTATACGGGGCGAAATTCCTCGACCTCTGTTGACAGATGGTCACCTATGTGGGACCTTCGATACTGCCGGATATTGATGATGTCATATACGTCTCGGTGAAAATTTGGACCGCGGCCGGATTCGAACCAGCAACTGCCGGGTTACCGACCTGGTGCTCTACCAACTGAGCTACGAGATCCGACTGCTGACCAGATTTTTATTTCAATTCAATCACCATGTGAATTGGTGATGCGTTACTACCGCTTGATCGTATTCACACTGGCTGCCTAATCATGACTTCCCATCCAAATCGAAATCTAACCGAATCAGAGAGTGGGAGCATCATATTGGTTATCACTTGACTATCGGAGACAGCTGTGGTTTGATAGACTAGTATTTATACTGGGTGATGATTGAAGGTGAAATGAAAATTTGGACCGCGGCCGGATTCAAACCACCAGGTTACCGGCCCGGTGCTGCCAAACCACGGCTATTTCCTACAGTCAAATGATAACCAATATGATGCTCTCATTCTCTGATTCGGTTAGATTTCGATTTGGATGGGAAGTCATGATTAGGCAGCCAGTGTGAATACGATCAAGCGGTAGTAACGCATCACGAATTTACATGGTGATTGAATTGAAATAAAAATCTGATCAGCAGTCGGATCTCGTAGCTCAGTTGGTAGAGCACCAGGTCGGTAACCTGGCAGTTGCTGGTTCGAATCCGGTCGCGATCCAAATTTTCACTTCACCTTCAATCATCACCCAGTATAAACACTAGTCTACCAAACCACGGCTATCTCCGATAGTCAAATGACAATGATGAATACACAATAGCAACTGATGGTGTTATTTGAATTGAAAAAATCAGATTTTTCATAACTAACCTGTTTTTCTGAGCAAACAGATTGGGAAGACTTTTTCACATGTATTAAAGGTAACCATGGAGAATCTGTATTGTCACAGTATTGCTTTGAATTCGTATAAGTAGTATAAAGAGTATTCTGTGAATAAACTGTAGGCGAATCTTGTGAAATATAATCAGCTGTATTGCAATAAGATAGTAGAACACTTGCTAATTCATTCGGCATAGGACTAAGTAAATGAGCTGTTTGAAGTAAACTTAATAAATTGTGTTCATTTAATAATTTTACAATTGCTAACAAATCTTTTAAGCCTATTTGACCAATAACTTTTTCAAGATTATGATTTCGTGTATATTCATCTATCATTGAAGATTTACTATCCATTTGGCACAAACGACAAGATTGTGAACGTGATGAATGAGTATATAATGTAGACTTCTTGATATTTTCTTCTATTTCATTCCAACCCATACATAATAGTAACCAATGATTGAAATTTTGGCAATCATTATCTTCTAGAGATACTGATCCCTCAGAAGAATGATTACAGTTTAGCATAAAAGGATTATCAACAAGCGATGATAGAACTGAACAATATTCCAAATAGACATTATCTTGTGTTTTATTCTGTTCATTTTTAGCGTGATTATCTGAACCAAAGAATTAAGATAACAAAGAAAGTTGGTAATATAAACACGTTAGTGAATGCAGAAGAAAAAAGTTTTAAATGCAGAATATTTGGCGTGCAAACATGACATCACTTAAAATAATACAATTTAGTAATCATTGTATACTGACCGAATATTTTGCTGCTTAATAAAACTATCTAGTTAACCAAACTTCAACAGCTGGAGCAGAGTTCGAATATACAACCTCTTCTTCGGAACTATTTTCCTAGAACAAATGTATTAGTGTTCTACAAACTACATACACAATAAATACCTAGACAGTAATGATGGTCAGCAGCTAGCAATGGAATCCAGAATGCGCGTTTCGTCCTATTTGGACTCGTCAGTTGGATGTGCCTGCACTACAATGAGTCATATTATCCCCACTAAGACTCGAACCTAGGATCGACCTCCTCAAAATCCAGGGCGTTATTCACTAAGTCACTGAGTCAAGACAGACAAGCATAACACAGAGTGGCTATCGTGACTCGGTGGACTAGTGGGCAACGCTCTGGAGTTTTGAAACAATTGGTCTCGGGTTCGAGTCATAGTGGCAACAACATCGCTCACTGGAAAGCAGGTACATTCAGTTGACGAATCCTGAATAGGATGAAGCGCGCATCATTAATCACTCTGCTAGCCACTATCCATCATTAATATATAAAATTAAAACAAAGGCAATATCTTGGCATCCGCGCAGGAACCCATATGTCAATAATGACCGACCAATTCGGTCCAACCAACGACGGGAAATTACAGACAATAACATAAAATATCTTCCATTGACACTAGTTTACAATGAATAATAATGATTGCTTTATTCCAAACAATACAGATGATGCAGTATGGAGTTCTCAGCACATAACATTTCGATAAATTCACTCCTAGAACAATATTTTCAGACGAAATAGTTATTGCATCTGAATGATGTTAATAATAACAGTATTCAGGGGAATAAGGTGAAGCAGCCAGCCGGTTTTACATAAACGTCCGGTTTATAATGAAGAATTAACAGAAATGAGAACGTAAGTTTGGTAGTGATGGTTCATCCAGCCAGTACAAGAATCTGCAACTCAAGCTAATTATCCAAGGAACAGAAATATGATATATTTTTGTGCACTGAAAAGTTCACTTCTACATAAGGTGGTAATTTTTTCCTGTTTTGTTATTAACTCGAGAAAAACAGCGAGTTGAAAAATTTTAAAAATGTACAAGAGTACATCATACGATATGATATGATATATGTTCGGTAGAAAATTTCGATAGCCTAAGGTTCAAGCAGGTCACTGTTGTGATGTACAACCATCTAAAAGATAGAAAACTGTGAAAGGGGGAGGGGGCGGAGGGCAATAATCTCTCTAACAGATATATGCAAATTAGCACTCACCTGTCACATTATAACAGTGGTCATAGTGACTGGCATACAATGACTAATAAATGAGCCATTAAAATGAACTCGACTACACTGAATACAAATATAGCGACTAGAATATGACTACATGAATTCCATACCAAAACGTATCACATTTTATATAGCTTCGTATATTAGCCGGTGATCGCTGGTTCGAATCCTGTCGCGGTCCAGATTTTTATCTCACCTTCAATCACAACCCAGTATAAACTTCTTATATTAGAAAAAATGATTACAGATATTTTGTAAATCATAAGTAGGAACCTCTTGTATAGTAGGCGTAAGAGACAATATACCATACTGTATTTAACTCGGATAAACCATTTAGTATTTTACGTAAGTGGCAGCCTCTTGTAATTATTATAACCAGTAGAAATAAAGCGAAATATGAATCTTAGGCAAGTACCATTAGCCACACTACTTCATCAATTTTATATGACATTTTGTCTAAAACTTATTACGATTGTATATCTTGACTTAAGAACTCTTTATTAACCCCTTACTTATTTCTATACAACTCATGGCTCCGAAATAACTGCCTATTAAGTGAAATCAATTATTATATATTATCTTAGAAATCAGCTATTCCATTATTAGGAATTATGGTGGATTGTAGACGTATAAGTTTATTGTACACATGCATGACTCAGAGGACGAAAAATACACAAGCCTAATGAGCAATAAGCCTGTATCGTTGATTGGAAGAAGAAGAAGAAAGGATAGCAAATATCTCGTTTCGAGTTCAGTTAAGCTGGTGACTACTACACGTGGAAAAGTATAGCAAGTCCAGCAATACTCAGATAGTGAAGCAGGATTGACTGACTGATTGACAAAATCCACATAGAACTTCGCACACAGGTGCATCGGCTCAAGCTGCCATACTTTACAGGAGTACACAGATGGACGATATATGATATTTTTAAAACATTGTGTAAAAATCTTGTTTTCCTATAGTTACCCGTATGCTACATTATCTCTTAACAGAACTCTGTTGCTGTGAACTGTTGTATGCCTTGTCTAAACAGTATTTTTCAATCGTCAGACTGGTCCCATTAGATTATGAAAAATTATACAAAATACAGTCCAGCAAAGAAAAGTTTCTGTTCAACAAATCATTCACAGAATCTGTTCATTTGTATTTATAAATAAAACAAAAATATATTCTATCTGAAGACGTTGGGTGATAGTTGCGCTACATTGCCAACTGACAGAAGTTGGAAACTGTAGACCAGTGGTCGAATTGTTAACGCGTTCACCGTGAAACTTGAACTTCCTGGGTTCGATCCCTAGACGGGTTCTGGGTGAGTACTGCTGAGGAGTTCCATATTAGGACGAAACAGCTGTCTAGTGCTCTCAGGTTTTCAATGGTTTCCTAACTGATGTCAGTCCGTGATAAATACTACCTCAAAAGTGTCCATCGATCATTAATGGGGTCAGCACGAGGTCAAAGACTTTCAGTAGAGGCAGAGTAATTATGGCTACAAAGTTAACATAAGATCATCAAAGCGTAGTTACGGGGCGATTACCCAATAATTTATGTGGTAATAGAACACGTACGAAAAGTGGGACAACAGAAAGGGATTTTTTTCTCTGAATTGTTTTTTGTCAGATAGTATTTTCCTCAGTAGATAATGCATGCAACCCAGTCATGTTATATTCGGGTTTCAACAAGATTAACCTGGTTAAACACCTACACCTTATTCTTAAGATAAAAAATATTATATTTCGATTAAACTAAGTAAAATTGTAGGGACAAAGTACTTGTTTATCGTTTCAACTACCGGCGGCGGCACAGACGAGGATGTCAAAACCAGCATTGGAAAAGCAAGATAGGTTTTCACTAATCTGAAATCAGCATGGGGATCTACTACACTCAGCACAAAGAATAAGATCCGGATTTTCAACACCAATTCAGTCAAGTCAGTGCTTCTATGTCGTTCAGAAACTTGGCGTGTCATGAAAAGCATTTCCAATACACTACAGATATTCATCAACAGCTCCCACCTACCCCGGTTCCATACTGAAGATCAGATGGCCAGAATAATAAGAATAAGCAACAAGGAACTCACTCCGGCTGGCAACGAACCAAACAAGAACCTATCGCCCATCAAATATGCAGAAGAAGAAAGTGGAGATAGATTAAGCATACACTGAGAAGGCCGACTGGGGACATCACACGTCAGGCCGACAACACCACCGAGTGGATGCCAAAGGGAAAACAACGAGTTGGGCGTCCCAGCTGAGGGTGACATGGAGGAGATCATGTGATGAAGAAATGAAAGCCTGTGGGCAGTCGTGGTGCCAGGTTGAAAGGACTACAGAGAAGAGAGTGTGCGATGGAGGCGTGCTACTGAAGCCTTATGTTCCACTAGGAACCCAAGGGAAAAATAATAATAAAAATAAAAGTACTTGTCTAGAGTGGAACGCTTAAATATTAGAAACATGTTGCCTAGAGGAGAGTGTTCTTTTCTACACATATTGGGATTAAAGTTTGTTTTCACAAAGTTTTACATTGTTATTTGGATTTTTATTGACTTACTGAGTCATGTTTTATCAGTGGATGCATTGAATTGATTAGTTCCAAAGTAGTTTGCACCACGAAATGACATTAGCTGAAGAACCACTTAAAGACGGAAAAAATCAATGTAAGACCTCACACACAGAAGTGCATCGACTCACGTTGCCACACTTCACAGTAATAAACAAAGAAAAAGTGGATAGAGAAATAAATGGTATCAAAGTAGACAAAGGGGTATAGCAACAGAAATAATTCGAAAATGAAGGTCGGAGAGTAAATACATTTGCACCACTGTGACTGATGTTCAGCCATATCACCAGGATTCTGTAATCATTGATTTCTATCGTCTCGGGGATCCCAGTCAACTAGTTTGTAGCTCCCTACATGGCTGAGACCAACAGTCAGAAACTAGATGAACTGGTATCAAGTGTTAATCTGACAACTCTAAGCCTTCTAAAAAAATCTTACCTCAGCTAACATTGGACGTTAAGAAGGTGGTTCGGGATGTGCATCATATGTCTAAGCTACCTCATCCGATAAAGGTTCACAACCTTATCAGTCGACTTGTCTGTCTTGCCTAGTACCCTTCGCCCGACCTCAACATTGTTCACATGATTCCATCATTCACGAGCAATGCTACGAAGACATCTGTAATCTTCCCATATCCTCTATTTTTAACGGCCATTTTTCAGCCGAGTAATAGAACAGGACGAACTTCAGAGCAGTATACTCATCCTTTAAAAGGTATACGGACATCTAACCAGCGCCAGAGACGATGCGAGGTGTTAAATGCCGAACAGGTCTTCTGTATCCAAGCAGCATACATCCAGATTTCTAGCGAGTGATGCTTGGTGTCCCATTTGACATAGAGTTTGTACGTTCAAGATTCCAGTGTGAAACCGATAGCGGGGTATTAGGGGACTAAGAATGAGATCTTGATAGTTTTGGTCGTCGGCAGTGGTTGAAGAGTGAAAGGCTGAGGAATTTGTAAGGAGTCTAATATTGTATCAAGAAGTTTAGGTAAAGGAGAAGACGAAGGTAAGGAAAGTATAATACAGTTGATTGGGATTTGTATACCACTAGAAGTGTGTGAACGGTCAGTTCTTCCCGGCTGCCCACATCATAAAAGGCTATTTCTCCTTAAAGTACCTGAAAGAGAAAAAGACTTGCGTGACCACAGAGCTCATGTGATATCTACTTGAGGTTTGCCACACATAGTCTTTTAGGGTTGTTGGTTTGAGATTTAGTTTTCTTAACGCTGTACCGCCAGTACCAATGGGACCGGAAGACCGCAGGGCAGAAAAGAATGTGCTATTTTAGAAACCGACCTTTTTTAACTCTCCCTTCCCATAGAGAATGCAGCATCAACATAGTGCTACTGGTCATCCAAGGGAAACATCTTACTGCTGTCACATCCAATCCAGTCAACAATACGACTTCTCCCTCGGATCCCTATTATGGTGTAGTAAGTTACACTACAATGGTAACTGCTTTTCGTCTGACCACTATCTAACTGACTTATCCGGCATAGTAAGACCTCAAGAAACAAGAATCCCAGCGAATGTACCTCGCTGAGTCATTGTGATATACAAGCTCGACCATCGCGTCAACGTAGCAGCTATCGATCGGGAATCGTTCAAAAACCTGGCAACACTAAAGATCTGTTCCATGCTCATTTGGGACTCGAGTGTAAGTGAACGACATGTCTAAGAAATTACTAACGACATCATTTTATTCATTTGGGAGCGTGCATTTCTCGTAAAAACACAAGAAATTCATTCTCTCATTGTATGAATTGTTGAAAATCCATCATATCATGGTACACTTGTATATGATTTCTACTACATCTCTCTTGATAAGTATAGTCTTTTTTTCTGCTCAATTTTTAAGTGTACTTGCGAATTTCCATGCTTTAAGCATTTCAAGCTAAAATTCCTGACAATTAATGTTTTCTTTTATTTTTACCAACGTTTGCGTTGCTCTATTTTTATTGGCTTCTTAGTTTTTCAGTGTACTATTGATTATCTGTCTCTCAAAGACATTGCATGCACATATATACCAAAGATGTAACTACATTTTGAACTCAATCAGTCTACTTAATAGCTAGATACTAGAAGAAGGTTAAACAGGACTAATTCGCAGTTCATTAATACGACCACTGATATTTTGTCGGAGATTCTACGTTATGTGGGGTACGAGTCGATTCTTGACAGATATCACCACATGTTATATGTGTAAGCACTTGATTAGGAACAGTTATAAAACATAAAAAGAACAGTGATGATCCATTATATAAGACTAGTTCCTAAATATTTCACTGATGGTACAGTAATCCAATAACTCTCACCAATTACATCTCTTCGCTGCAGTAAAATGAGCATATCAGACATATGAGGGTAGAAAATAAAAACATACTACAATAGCATTCGATATAAAGTTCTGATTCTACATAGAGGATAATAATGCTATGGGTCACACCTACCTCTAGGGCTTCCATTCCCTGATTTGACACCACAAAATGAATTTTGATCACTTTTGAGTTGTAGCTCGGCCCAACATAATAAACCAGCGAGTATTTCAGATTCAGGAGCCTAGAATTTATTATTTCAAATGATAAAAGCAAAGTTAGTAGGTGCTACAATTAGTTGTTATAAAGAATGAACGAAGAGAACCAAATCAGATGTGTTCAAGTTTTAAATTCCGAGATAACAATAATAATAATAATAATAATAATAATAACGTAGGATATGTGAGCTGCCTGACACCAAATTTTTCACCAAGATTACAAGTACAAAAGCTGCTCGGTATGACTTTATTATCTGGCGTGAGTAGTTAATGATTATTTATGCTAATTATTGATGTTAGCTAACCACATAGCGATGGCCTTGACAGTGGATTCGAGCTAATTGATGTACTTAAGTTGAACTGCTAAAATCAACTGAATTCTAACTAGCTACTCGATTGAAATGGTGAGAAACTCCAACTAACTTACAGCCATACTCCAGTTTGTAACCATTGAGCATCAATATTGATAAAAAAAACATATGTTAGCCGGAACTAAGGAGGGCTGTAAGAAAAGTTTGAAAAGCAGTAGAAACGGAGGTTGATAGTTGGTTTGTAAAACATTTTCACGAATTATCTCACGGAATCACTGACTGAAACATGGGTGCTAACCGGGATATAGGAGTCAAAAGCATTCCCTACCAAATAGTGTCGATTGTTGATCATTTCAGGAGAGGAATCTTTTCTTATTGATCCCAGAGTAATAAAGTTAACTAACACAGTTTGTGAAGTCTTGAAGCCTGATTAGAACTTCAGCGTAGTAAACCCAAAAGAACTCTCCAGCTCTCAGCCATAACGTGGATACATAGACCAAGTATTTAACCTTTCAATCGGGTTAAACACAACAATTTTAAGATGCTGCTAGTCATAAAAATACAAGGGGAACCCAACAGAAACGGAGTTATCACGACATAAAAGAAGAAAGTGAAACGAAACAGTAAATATAGAACAAAATAAACTACAGATTTTGAGAAAGAAAGAGATAAAGTAGTGCAACGTCACTGTTAATGTCGACTAGTGTCACAATCTACGACTTCTGATTCTTCAAAATTCCATAGCTAGGTAACCTACACTTTCTTATACAGACCTTACTATCTATAGCATGTTTCCATTTTAAGCCCACTACAGTCAGAGATTCATCATATTGGGGTGAACCATAGTTCAGCATGATTGGCAAATGACAAGTCGCTTTCATCAATGCAATATCAAACATCCACACAAAAAGCGTGTCTTTTCTAGCCTAGAGATTTATGCTTCACCAGTATAGTAAATAATAATCAGCATTGAGAAAAAGAATAAAAAAGTAATTACAAACAAGGAATTTTGATAAGTTTACTCAGTGCTACAGACAATCATGAAGAAACCAGTTGTTAAGGTTCGTGATCTTATTGTTGCACGAAGTAGGTTTAAGCTTCGTCTACGATACAAGTGTTTATCTTTCTGAATAAATCCAACCATACTTAATACTGAGAAATGATCGACGTCATATGGAATTAAATTCAGTAGAGTGAAATCAGTTGAAGATCTAACGTTAATCATCAAATTTCGAAAAACTGGGATAGTTGTCTAGTATCCTATGGATTTTAACGCTTCGTCAACTTATGTTGATTCGTGACGAAAAATAACTTAAAACTACTCTATCATCCATAAACTGCTGAAGTATAGATATAATTTTTGAAAGATCTTACTTGAACAAGGCTTGAATCGAGCAATTCATGAAGCTGTCGTGGTGATAAACGTCGTAAGATGGATGGTGAACGAACCAGTGAAGTGAAATTTTGTTGCAAACATTGTACAGCATGACGATATACAAAACCGAGGGATGTTCCATTGTAAGGAGAAAGTTGAGAGTTGATATCACCGGGTTTCGAAGCATCCTGATTATCCATAGATGGTAAAAAATCATCATTAGATTTGAGAAGTTGGCTTACAACTGATGAGTCCACAGTATTTCGGTATGAATAATGAGTGTTTGAAAATTTTTCTGGCAAAGGTGATGATATCAATGATTTCCCGTCGATCCATTTAAGTAAGCCAACAGCCAAACTTATTAAATTCATTTTCACAGAACCTTCTTGTACACTCATGGAAGTGGATATTCCTGCAGAGTTACTGTTTTCATGACTTTCATGAGTGATTAAAGGTATACTGAGAGCTTCTGCTAGTAGATCCTCACACGCTGCATAAGATACAACGGAAAAAAAACACTTTTCTCAACAAATATTAAAATCTAGTGGGAACGAAAGTGTATAAAACTGACAAAATAAGATGCTCTAGTTATCATAACAAAGATATCAACATAAATGCGTTTTATGTTTATAGATGAATGAAAAAAAAACAAGAGATTTGGTTAGAAAATGGTTCACATGAAGACTGGAAATCTATTCTCCGAACAGCTGTTAGGTGACCCCAGGACTGGTTTTGCATAAACTAACTTATAAATTGAAAAATTCATCTAAGCAGATGAAAGCTATTAACTTAAAGGTTTCTGAAGACTGAACGTGTATACGACTTAATTAAAACTACAGCAATAATCCTGTTAAAATTCAATTTTGTAACTACCATTACTGTCTAACAGTCCAAAATGCCACACCTCACATCAGGATATGAGGTGGAAAGAAGAAAGACAGAAATGTAGATAATATAATCCAGTAGTACAAAGCTATGAAACACGAAAAGATTTCAAGTAAACAATGGAACGTGATACAACCGTTAAGATACACATCAAGTGGCAATGCGTAGTCCACACTAACAGTTAGAAACTTGATAGAATAATGTTGTTTCAGTTTGACCACCCATTTTCCCAACCAAACCCTGAACCAGATTATAAACATCCAGGCCATAGTTGTTACGAATATCCTGAAATAAGTTGAGCACCAAGTCAGGTTTGATCATTATACAAGTAAGTTTTAATATAATTCTAGCGTGTTCAGAAAAATCTTGTTTGAATTTTTAAAATACTAAAACTAACTTAAATAACCGTAATCCTAAACCAGATAGGGGATAAACACGACTAGGTAGGCGTAAGAGACGTCCCAGATGCCTAAGTCGATCAATTTTATGAAAAAAATACAACTACACTGCAAAGAAGAGACTGAGTTCACTCGCCTAAGCATTCAAATTTCCAGCAGTGGGTTTGGGTTTTGAAACCCACTACCCGCCCAATTCAGCTAGTGAACCCTCACATACTACGTAGGGTTTATGACCCTGTATGTATACCTGTGACGGGTTTAGTTTCGTTATTAAACATTTTTACCACGATGCAAAAGATTTATCCGCAACGTGGATTGGCATTATCGGCTTATGTGAAATAAAATTTGCTAAATGAGAAAACGCTATGCTGTTAATTATAGCTTGATAGTAACTAACTGATTTTACATTGAAACAAATTTTGTGTCATTTACCAGACAAATCTGTGTATACTTCAAGGTACAATTTAGATACGAGACTTACTAGTCAAAAGAGCTCCTTAGGTCAAATGCTTTTGAATGTTTTACTTTCCTACGGTTTTCAAAGCGATTTGTCTTTAAGTGGTTCAACGAAAGATTGTTAATCGAATCGCCAAACCAATAACTCACAGTTTTACCAGGTCGGTTAGCCTCTAGCGAGCAATCACTGTACACAATCCAGTCCTACAGGAGGTCAATCATGGCCCAAATGACTCAGTGGTTACATCTCCAACCGCAGCACTGAGTGACGCGGGTTAAAATCTCAGGCGGGACATCAGTTCCCTTGAGGTTGTAGATACACCTTGCTGACGAGTGCCAGAAAGTCCAAAACCTAGGTCCATGGCTTTCTGCCTATTGCCTCCGTCCAACTAACATGTGTTTCCTGTTTCCACTGCATCTACATTAGGCTCTAAACATAAGGATATTTCATTATATAAAGACTTCTTAGCACCAAGTTAGGAAAATTAGTTAATTCGGATATAGAGAATCCTGTATTGTCCAGAATAAGTGTAGATTGGTCACTCAGAAGAATAAACATACTGAGTGCAACAACATAAAAACGGTACATTCTGTAGGTAAATTATTACAGCTCCTTATGCATTAAACGTATAGGCAGATGAGAAACAGAGATCAATGTATAACCTGGTACAGAAGTGAATAAGTTGACGTTAACACACTTCACAGCAGGATGCAAAGAAAAAAGTACTGAAAATGAAAGATACAAAAGTGAGCAAAATAATATAAGAGGACAAAGAATAAGTCAATGTTGACTAGAGAAAATGTTCAACATTTCGAAAATGGCAAGGAGTGTGTTTGTATGCGTCAATGATCGATTCTGACCCGTGCCAAAAGGAGGCAACCAGTGGTTTTATCATCTTGAGGATCCCAGCCAGACAGTCTACACCTTCCACGATAGCTCATGCCAACAGTGAAAGGTCTCATGGAGATGTTTCCGGTCTAATTTTCCTTAATCTCCCCAACCCGATCCTGCTCCCGCTAATACCACACGTTCGGGTGGGTGGTTGCTTAAGACGTGCAACACATGTTCAGGCCATCTGCATAAGAAGATCTAAACGCTCTGGATTACATTAGAACAATGAATCACTTGAACCGTTTTGGGGTATTTCACTGGTTTAAAGATAGTTTCTCCTTAGAACCATTACCAGCTTAGAGGAAATGGAAAACTGAAGACTGAAGCCTATTAGCATCACTCAAATAAGCAATGACTTATTGAATGATAACTACATTAGGTGACATATAAACAGAAGTAAGATAATATGAATCAGTGGATATTACTTCAGTGAATGATAACTCACTGACTGAAAGACTAAAAACCTCGAGTTTTACGTGCTGTAGATGTGCAGTGCAGACTGCTAAACCAGGGAGATACATGCATACAGTATGTCCTGACTTTTTGAGTTGTCAGTGTATGAAAAAAAATATTTTTATATTACAATATGATTACAGCTTATGACTATTGTATCTCAGCTTCAAGGTTTTGTTTTATAACCAATGACTGACAACTGCATCAAGTAGCCTAATTTCACCGTAAACATTCTGTAGTCAGTTCAATGAACTGAAATTAAAAATCCTACTTATCGTTTACTAGTGTATTCAAATAGAAAAATTATTTAGGAAACACATATCCATCTAGTTATCTTTAAGTAGGCATCAATAATACAAGTTTACTGATGTAGAAAGTTACCTACCGATGAAATTTGACTTAATGACTTCACAAAAAAATATGATCTCTCCCTGATCGGAAGGTTCTCGGTTAAAGACACGGCAACAGTTCATGGAATCCTTGAATGTTGATCTGAAGCGTGCTAGAAAGTGTAAACTGTCTAGCTGGAGTCCTTGAGACGATAGGAGTCAATGACCGGATACTCTTGGTGATATTGCTGAAAATCGATCAAAATAGTGCGGACGTACACACTCTCCGTCATCTTCAAAGTCATGAACATTTTCTTAACCTTTATCTGCTTATTTCCCCCTCCTCTCATACATACTTCTCTACCAAAATTACAATTTTCCCACACAGTTTCGTTGCATGCAGCTGTGAAGTGTGGCAACTTGAACCGAGACACTTCTATGCCATGTCCCACAACAACTTATTTGTCCGTCTTTCAAGCTCAATGCTCTTAGAGACTCATATTGTTCAACCATTCAAAACCAGAAGGAAAGCAGTAGAGTTATGTTTTCAATAGTTTTCAGGTTCAGATAACAACTTCGCTCAGGTTAGTCAAGTAACTAAAAACAAATTATGAACGAAAAAGTCACAAACAGATGATATTACCTTCAGAAAGCTTAGGAAATTCCAAAATGGCTCCTATAGGATGTAGCTGGATTATATGTGTTAAGCAAAATGGACACCTTAAACAAAAGTGTTTAACACGAAATTCAGAACTATTCATCAAAAAGTGAATAAGCGTGAAAAATGAGCCTGAATCTGACTCAGTATAACTTGAATAAGCATGTTTCCAAGATGATGAATATGTTTTTGTCGTTGGTTGATCTATTTCCACTGGCCTACAGCACGAATAATTACCATAGCTATTCTTGCTGAATAATGTTTAATATGCCATTCAGAGTGCTGTTTACTTAATGCTCTCTGTTTATCAATAATCAGAAGTAAATTGGATATTTCATTCAAGTTCAAATAATCACAGTAAAAGAAGTGTAAAAGAACACTAGCGAAATGTGCCGGTAATATTGTACCATCTAAGACAATTTTATGCGTAGAATGATGTGTAGGATTTGATTTACACCGTTTCAATAAAAGACGACGCAGAAATTCTGAACGACAAGCCAAAATACCTGCATGACATGGAAGTGATATAGACTTTAGGCTGAGAATTGATGGACAAGTAAAGATCAGCTCACAATCACTTGACATCAAACACTTATTCTGAGAAGAAAATCTAAGGAAATCATACAGTTTGGATAAATTACCACCATTTATGCTAAATGTGGATCGATTATGAACTTCCGGTTGGTGGAGGAGATCAGGTTTAGAAATTGTGTGCTTTGGATCATTGCCTGTGTATAACTGAGACAGAAAATTGATTAAAAACACTTCTGAAGAATCAGTCATATCTTGGATATTTATCTTTAAACTACTCGGACCTGTCGAATTGACATTAGGAAGTCTTCGCTGATGATTTGCATTCATTTCAGATACTTTACATAAATTTTCCTTAAGTTTCAATCGTGAAGTAGATAGTAAATCTGGACATTGTTCAGGTTTCATCATATCAGAAATATGATTGATAAAAGAATCAGATATATCTAAAGAATTCATGGAAGGATTGTTTGAAAATGATAATTTATTCGAAAAAGTTGATGTAACAGGAGTACTAAAAGTATCAATCTTCGAATATGGAGATTCAGTTGATTCACTCGAACATGTATAGGCTTTTGTACGACACACTGAATTAAGCAGTCGAATGCACTTAAACGTGATGCCAATATGTATGAGTGGGCTTCACGGGCATAATCATTATGAATAAGATATATATTGAAACACCAGCCATGCTGTGCTAAAGAAGACAGATCATCCTGAAAATAAAAAAATTTGTAATAGATTATGATCAGAATGTAACATAAGTAAGGAATAAACAAGAAACATTTTTTGAAAAATTCCAAAAGAAACTAACTGATTATTCGTGAAACCCTGTAGTACGCTTAGTACTTTACGTAGCGTTTGGTAGTTTGTCGAAATTGCTGAAATGAGATGAAAATTCATAGAAAACTGAGTGTCTCGACTACGGGAATTATGACAAATAAATAGGACTTACTAATGCCGATGGCATAGTCATGTACATCATATGAACAGCAGAAAAGTCTGTTGCAGAGTGATCAGACAAAAAACAGTTACCTTTAGTTTAAGCGGTTATGCTATGATGGGAGAGTATAAGGGTAAAGTTGCACTGTTGGCTGGACGAGGCTATGACAGCAACGAAGTTTTCCCAAAGGACAACTAGTAGTCCATCCTGATGCTGTTTTCTCTATGAAAAGTGAGGTTTAAAAAAGATCAACATCAAATGAAGCACACTCCCCCTAGCCTTGAGCCCCCTCCCAGTACCAATGTGAGGGTTTTCTAGTTGGACTTGATCAGAGATAAATCCTAGACTTACAAAGAGGTCATGAGTGATCAGCCACAAAAAGATATTCCTTGGACTCTGCGGTCACGCACCACCACTACTAACCACACTTCCTTTTTAGGTATCATGAAAAAGTGACCTTCATGATATGGGCAGCCAAAAAAGTGCAAACCAACCTGACAACTCCATCAGAACTCAAGTTCCCTCACATCATTATCAAGCTTCTACATGTTTGCCTCAAAATCCTTCATTATGTCTTTTCATCAATATTTTTATGTTATCTTTAGTTTCTTAGAGCTATGCAATCCCCGATACAGATGCAAGATCAGAGAACGTTTTGCAAACTCTTCTTCCACCCTTGCGACTGAAGCTTAGTAGAAAAAACCGATGCACTTCTGTTCCAGGTTTCGTGTTGACTTAACCGTTTGTCTGTTACAATTACGAGGATTAGACGTCACCTTTCTGCTTTTCTTATATTCACCATAGGTTTAATAAATTACGTTCATTCGTAGCCAGCAATAAATGAGTATTGTAAGCCCTAACTTGATTTCAATATAACAGACTCTTCAAATATTATTAAGCCGATATTCATTGGAATTTAACTGAGACCTGCTTCACATCCAGCTACTCAATATCATGCTTCAGACTACTGCTCTGGCCATGTACATACCAAACTATAAGACCCTAATTCCTACAAAGTCCTGGTGTTACAAGCGATTGCATCAACCATAGTTGATTGCGATACGTCTGGTGATGAATATGATTTCAAAGTACTGTAACATCGTTCATACTGACAAAAATACACTACTTGTGCCATTCAAAAGGCATCCAGAGTTCATAATGTTCTTAGCATCTGTTCATCGAATTATATACTACTGTGTCATGAAGTGATAGTAGGGATTCAACTATAATCGGTTTAATAATATTCTGCATGCAATACTGACGATGTTCAAATTTGTTTTTTCATTTCTCCTCATAAATAGATAGCAGTACAGAATAAGCTTAGATAACGTCACTGATGTTGCCCATTCACTAATCACTAGTTAAAAACTGTACAGATACAAAACTCTAGATTTTTCATCCTTTCAGTTCTTTGCATTGACTGGCTAATGGCATCACTTCCCAAAAGAATAATCAAAGTAGGTTGATGGCACACACTTTATTGCAATTGATTTTAGGAAACTCAGAAACTTATTCAGGATCTTGTGATGGCATAAAAGCTGTACCAGACGAAAACAATGCCAGATATTTTTTAGTATCCATAGATGGACCAAAAGATAGCGCATATGAGGGAGGTATTTTCAACTTGGAGTTGTTCCTTCCCGAAGATTATCCTATGACTGCACCTAAAGTCCGCTTTACAACCAAACTATACCATCCAAATGTTGATCGTCTTGGGAGAATTTGTCTGGATATCCTCAAAGGTAAGTTATGCTCACCATGCTGTTTTCATTTCCTGTTGTTTGGAAAGAGCACTTCTCTGGTCTGTATCATTCTTCGTGGAGTTAGGTTTTGCGCATCATGACACCTTGAAATAGGAACAGATACCCGATTCTGTAATTCCACTTATTTCTAGTCACATTTATCTAGTTTATTTCCCTTCCCTTGTTAAAAGTTTTCATTTCAACGTGGCCATGAAATACAACCAAGTCTTTGGCAGTATCCGTCACTGAAACTGGTGCCCGGTAATTCAATCTCCCTGTTGAAAACTCTGTACTCTAACACACTTCAGGATCCCAGAGCACATCATGAGGTATCAGATGCTTTATGCACATCATGTGCTACCCGTGAAGTTTCAGGTGGGAAAGGAAAGTCAGTTGATGAGATTGTGAACCTTCAACGAATTAGATGGTTGAGATATGTGTTACCCATACCTACTCACTGCCTACCTCACGAACAATGTTAGCTGAAGTAGGATTAGGCAAATAAAAGTTTAGACGCACCTAGACTAAAAAATGGCATCAGTCAACAAAGTCTTTAACTGTTGGTATCAGCCGTTTATGGAAATACAGACTTCCTGTTGAAGTTCACATGATAACCGGAGTCGGTGGTTGGGGATTATTCGGATATATATCTCAGAATTAACCTCAATGGCGCAGATGTATCCACACATTATCTTTATCCTAACTACAACGCCGAATCTCACTACTGTCTCATTCCAAACTGCTCTCTCTTTACCGCTTTCTACCGCGCTGACTACTTTCTTTCTGAGTAAACATCTTTTATCTCGATGCCTTCTACGTTGACAGGAGGTGTAGCAGCCTGGACAGTTATGAAGTAATGTGGTCCCACTTTGATGATGATTGATTTGCTAGGTTTAAAAGAGCTAACTCATCAATACTTACAGATCCTAACAAATGATTGTCTCGAATACCTGTACAGTTACGGTATGATTTGCTTTGTATTAAAAATAAACTTCATACTGCGTACAGTACACACAATGATTTTTATCCTGTCATTTTATTTTAAACAACCTTAGTGTCAACAAAAAGCATGATACTAGAGAGTTATTACTAAAAACATTTCACATGAAGAATTTTAGTTGGATAGAAGAGCCCGACCTTCCTCGCTCAAGATCTTATTAAATATTTCTTCTCTTGTGATTGTTAATTAGAAAACAGGTGGAAATCATTTTAAAACATGCAAAGCCTGTAAATCCTTTCTTCGAAAATGTATATAAGTTATACACTGACTAGCCACTCATCATCAACAACATCAAAATAGGACCAGCCATTACTGCGTAATAGTCCGAGTCGCCACACCTCATATCACTACATCAAGTAAAAAGGCAGTGAGGTGCAACATGAAGATAAGAAAACTCAGTCGAAAGAAATATAAAGTACTAAAAGAGAGAAAAGAAGAATGAGAAAATGGTGAGATTCGGCATAGCATCGTTAAGATGAGGATTACGTGTGTATACATCTGTGCTACTGACATTGGTTCTCAGCTATATCACCTAGAGTCTCCAGCCACTAGTTCCTCTTGTCCCCCGGACCACAACCACCTAGTCTGCATCGTCCCACATGGCTCAAACCAACAGTCAAACACTTCATACATTGATGCCATGTTTTAGTCTGGCCACCTCGGGTCTTTTTCCAGCCTGCACCTACTTCAGTCAACATTATGTGACGAGGCAATCGGTGACTAGGTATACATAACACGTGTCCTAACCATCTCAATAAATGAAGGTTCATAACCTCGTCAACTGACTTACCCCTTCTCCCTAAAACTCTACACTAACTTCTGTGTTACTCATGTGGTGACACCACCGAATACAGCCTATACTACGAAGGCAACGGTGGTCAAACACACCTGAAGCCTTCTCATATCTTCCACCTCTAATAGTCATGTTTACAGGCATATAGCAGAACAGATCGGACTGCTGTGCAGTACACGCCATCCTTAATAGACATCGGATATCACGGCGGCGCTACATATGGCGCAAGTTGGCAAAAGCCAGTTGACCCTGTTGTATTCCAGAAGAAATTTCACTAGCTACTGAGCCACCACGACAGGGCTGATCCCACTTCCCAGGTAAGTGAAGTGGTCAACACAACCAATCACTACACACTACACTCTCTATCGTTAGCCGTGGCACCGTTGAAGATCAATCCTGGAGCAACAATTTGCATTTCGGTGGTGAGAAACGCATCCCAAACATTCTCAAATCGCCACTCTAGGTGTCCAGAAGACTGCATCTTGTCAGCGTCTTCGCCTAACAGGACCATGTCATTTGTGCATTCTAGATCTAACGAAAATTTTCCCGCGATGACGTCAACCTCTGTGTAATCAGGTGACAAGAGGGACACCTCTATAAGAGTATCTCTGGTCGAATTGAACAAGAATGGAGACAGTGGGCACCGTTGACGGACACTACTGATGAGTACAGCTCCCCGGACATCTCACCATAGGCTCTAACACGCCCGCAACTGTCCGAGTAGAGAGCCTTCAATAAGGTGATGTAGTCACTCGGCACGCCTTTCAGTGAGAGACATTGTCACACGACTTCTCGATCAAAGGAGTCGAATGCCGCCTTCAGGTCGAGAAATACAGCTAGGGTCGGGTGTCAGTAAGCGTGCCTATGTTCCAGGACCTGGCGCAGTGTGAATATTTGGTCGATACACCCGCAGCCGGGTCTAAAGCCTGCCTGGTTTTCTCGGGCTTGCTGTTTCCGAGCTCCAATCAGGCATCGAAGAATTATGGGACCTGGGATCTTGGACACTATGTTCGTCAGGCTGACTCCACTGTGGTTATCACAAGAGGACTTCTCGCCTTTCTTGAAGACTGGGATAATCAGTGATTTAGACGTCAGAGGGGATTGCATTTGATTCCTATATACTGGTTAACACTTCCGTTAACCTGACTAAAAGCACCTTACCACCGAAGAGTAACTTTTTTTCAACACAGTTACAACAGATCAATGGAAGCTTCTGTGACAGCAACATTGCGTGAGGTAGTTTTAGGTTGCTGATACACCTTACTGATGAGACTTAACAAGCATGAAATTTGGGTCCATAGGTTTGTCCTGATTTCCTTCAGTCAACTAACATAGTTAAGGCATATATAAAAACAAAAAAATTTCCTCCTTCCTACAAATGAATATATTATTGAATAAGGGCTAGATTATTTAGAAGTGGATTAAAACTAAAATTACCAATCGAAAAAAAACTCGATACTTTAACCATCTTGAAGCTTCTTGTCATTAGCTGAGGAACACACACGAAAGTAAAACAGAAATACTGTAACAAACAGATCACTTTAGTCTAAACATATATATAGCAGAATCATTCCAATAAACTCTATATGACTACCGCTTGAACTTAGAATAAAAGGAGAAAAGACTTACTTTAAGAGTAGGAGCCCTCAATCGAGTTTTAATTGCATCCTTCCATAAAAGTTGGAATTCGTATAGTGCTTCATATTCCAGATAGAGACAGCATAACTCATTACATGACCAAGAGGATATAAGGTTTCGAAATTGTTCGATAGCATAATCAGTAGATGTTGAAAGATTGGTAAATGCATTCTTTTTTCTAGCTCCATTATCGTTAGTACACTTCCCGACTCCATTCAAACAATGTGACTGGTCAGTGCAAAGTTGTTCTCGATTGCTGATAGAATTCGGGAGGGAAACCCTTACAGAAATACTTGGGTCTCTTGGTATAAATGCTTGAGAATTGAAAACACGCGAGTGAAATCCACTGTCTGTATTAGAGGGATGTGTATCGGAGTTTAAATGATGATGCGCTACAGAGCTTTTACAAGTACAGTTGTATGTATTGACAGAGGTTAGACTCGTGATAACACAATTGGACGGTTCATTTATTGGCAGTGAACTGGTCTTGGTCCTTGAAGGGCTAGGCAAAGTATAGCCAGGAGGATAGTTTTTAGGACAACGACAAAGTCCAGTTGATTCCTTCCGATGGCTTTTGCTACTAGAAGCCCCAAAACTTGTACATCCCCAGGATTTGTCCAAGTTCGAAAATGATGATCCCATTTATGACAAATTAGAAAACATATTTCAAAAGCCATCCATTTGAATGCATATAGTAATTACACCTTGTGCAAAAAGATTAGTAAAAAGAAATAAACTGAACCAATTTGTCAGTATTTATTCAAAAATGTTATACTTTTTATAACCTTCGTAAGACTTGTGAATACAGCATACTTCAAAATTTGTAAATCAAAACGATTCAGAGTGAATAAAACTTGTCTATCTGGCGAAATAAGTATGAAGTAAACTACACAAAGGAATAAAATCGAAGTCACTTGGCGATCGCAGTAACTTGTTAGGGTCTTTTGGATTTCTGAAGTAGGTTCTACAGACGTATCTTTAAAACACTACGGCTCAAGAATATCTTAATGTGACAGAAATATCCTTGTCATATAGCACACTTAACTCGTCAAGTTTCGAACCAACCCGCTTTCAAATCTGGCACTTCCAAGAAACCAATTAACCCTTATACAATGAGCTTAGCTAAGCAATTTACGTAAATTGATGAATAAATATAACTTGACAGCCACATACAAACCCATGTATCATATTACACATTACAGTATGTGAGGACTGTAGATGCTACTTGGTTGCATAAACGTATGTACTGAGTATGACATGAAAACAGTGCTGAATACTGCAGCGTGGTTTAAAATGCTAGTGGATCTCAGCCTCTTGTGAATTAATGGATACACGCGGATGCATCCCTACAGGACCCGAGAACAATGAGAAGCGGAAGCAACTCATATGTAGGCTGACAAAAAGTGTGGACAATAATCGCGAACAGTAGTAGACAGCAAAGGATAAGTAGATAGAAAAAGCAGAGCGAATGAGTAACAGTAGACAGCTATTTAGACTCATTAAGGAAACTTATGAATGTCAGTGGTTAGAAAAAGTATGGCACAAAAAAAACAGGTCTGTGAGTCACTAGCAAGGAAGACAAGAAAACCGATGGGCAGAACACCTAGAAGAACAGCTACTATTTTTATCCAGTCAGGTCCTGCACGGAACATCGAGATAAGACACCTAACACTTGTATAAGTCAAGAAAAGTCCAGGTAACCTGGAACTGGGAAGAGCAGCAGGGCCAAACAGACCTATTACCAGAGGCAGTTAAGGACGGTGGTAGAGGATAATTAGTCAAAATATCAGAGTTGTTAGCAAGTGTGTGGAAGTCAAATATGATCTCTTATTCACTAATTGTCACAGTCTTCACGGAAGAAGGGAAATTCTCTTTTGATAACCAGTCTGACGAACATAATATCTAAGGTCCTGCGTTCTATGATTGTCGAGTATCTGAGTGGAGCTCATGAAGCGACACCGATAAAACCAGGCACGTAACAGGTCCGGTCCCGAATGCATCAACCAGATATTCACTCTTCGCCAGGTTCTGGAACACAGACACATTACCAAGGCTTGATACTAACCATATTTCCGGACGTGAAAGCAGTGCTTGACTCCATCGATCGAGAGGTCTTACGACAGTATTTCTCACTGAAAAGGGTCCCAAGTAAGTAAATCACTCTGCTGAGGGTTCTGTATTTTAGAGCCTATGGTGAGTTATGTACTTCCAGTGGTATCCATCAAGGACACCCACTCTCTCCATTCTTACTCAATTTTATCATCGACATACGGAGATATCTTTTTCTCGTCTTCTGACTTCACAGGGACCTACCACACAAAACTCTTAGCAGACCTAGAGTACGCAGATGACATAATCTTGTTGGAGACCCTGACAGGATGTACAGTTTTCTGGACACCTCGAGTGGTAGTCCGAAAATGTTTGGAATATATTCCTCGCCACCCAAATGCAAACTGCCACTCAAGGGATGGTCTTTGTTGGTGCAGTCTAAAATTAGAGAGTAAGATGGTTGGGCGCGTTGACTACTTCACTGCCTGGGAAGTTGGACCACCCCTGGTGGGTCAGTGGCGGACGAAGTCTTTACACGGATGCTAAAGGTTTGACTGGGTTTCGTCACCTTACGCCACTTGCAGGTCCTACCATGACATCAGATTGCCTATTAAGAGTCAAGAGTACTGCACTGCAGTTTGCTCTGTTCTATTATTTGGCTGTGAAACATCCCCATTAAAGGATATGGAGAGGCATTGGGATTTAACTACCGTCTCTTTCATAACATAGGCCGTGTCGTGTCATCACGTCAGTAATTTAAAGTCACATGTAGCCTTTCAGGAGGAAGAGAAAATTCAGTTAATGGAGTTTTGGACCTTCATCAGCTCAGGTGGCTGGGACATTGTTACATTTGTTACCATTTGTCCCAGTGCACAATGTTCGCTAAAGTAGGTTTGGGCTGAAAAAATGTTAGGGGAGGCCAGACTGAAACATGGAATCAGTCTATGAAGCCTTCGACTTTTGGTCTGAGCCATGTAGGAATGTAAACCTGCCGGCTGAGGTCTACCCGACAACAGAAAACAGTGGTTGAAGACTAGGTGACATGACTCAGAACCGATCTCAATGGGGCACATACATCCACACATTATCCTCATCTCACTCGTTATACTGAGCCCAGTATTTTCTTATTCTTCCTTCCTCTTTCTTACTAATTTCGACCGGGTTTTCTTTATTTATTTATTTCATCTTGTTTTCTCTCTTGATGTGCTGATATGAGGTGACAAATTGAACCATTAGGCAGCGATGCCGGGTCCTATGCTGATGATAAGGAAGTATCGAAAAAGAAATGCACTCAGCAAGCCCGCACTTCTCATAAAGTAGGCAATGAGCCACGCCTATTGTATGAGAGTTAATGATACTACCTGGCTGCCTGGTAGGCGTAGAGGGGTTCGAACGTGCGACGACTAGTTGGAAGTCAAGTGCTTAAATCAATGAGTCACGGAACACTAGACTTCAGTAGGTACCAAGTAATATGAAACAACCCATATGTTGGCAGTTAAGTACCGAACCAATGAACTAACCACACAACTAAAAATAAAAAATTTATGAGGATAAAGTCAGGGAAAAGTTTGCATAAAGCAATCTTACAAACCCAGTAAAATATCGATATCAAAAAGTGAAGTCAATTATGACGTTACTTGATTATAATGATAATAATAATAGTAATAATGATAATAGTACGTGGTATCCACAGAGATGGAGCCTATCTCACTGAACATAAATGACTCAGTATGCTGTATCGTGTGACTTCAATTCAATATTTATACATTCAAAAACATACAGAAAACATTAATAACCTTTATTTATTTATTGCGAGTCAACTCTTACCCTACTTATTTATTTTAGGATCTTTCCACATGACTTTTTTTGTCTTGGTGTGGAATATAACAACATGGACCAACAATTTCACTTCTTCACGCGTTTGTATTCACTAAAATTACCTTATTGCTATCACTAATGTTACCAATGAAGAGTACCCAGTCTTAAGCTTTGAGAACAGACCCATGCTAAATTTCATTAAGGACTATGGAAGCAGGATACGTATATCTCATTAATAAAAAGTGCTGCTAGTCTCGCTACAGAATTCCACTGAATGCACCCATACACACCACCTTATTTTCAAGGTTGAACGAAAAGATTACCAGATTTCATAGATGAAGCTAACAGCTACAAAAAAAAGCAGAAGCAAGGACTCGCGCAGTAAACACTTAGTGGAAACAAAACTGATGAATGCCATAGTGGAAAAATGACTAGTCACAGCATAAGTATCCTAAACGCTTCAAACCGACTTTGTGCCGTGAAACTACCTTGCTTAAGGGCTTATTTTAAAAAAACTAGTTGAAATGAACACATTGTTAAGTATGCCTTTTAAAATTTGCAATAAGAGGCTAGGAATTTAACCCAGTAACCTGATAATACGAAAATCACGCATACCATTGCGAAGTCTGTGATTAGCTGATAGCTTTAGTTAGTACGAACTTCAGGCTTGGTCCTTACCAGTAGAATGATAAGATTTTAAGTAGAAAGATGTGTCAATACTGAGGTAAGTAGACTTCTAGTTCAAAAGTCTTATTCTGATAAATGACGACACCTTTGTACAGACTGTTTCACTTTGGGCAACATGACAGTTGAAAGAAAGCAATTCAGCACCAATATTATCCAGTAACTAGGCTCCATTAGTGACAGTCATATACCGTATGCTGTTCTTCGCTGAAGAAGTGAAGAGTCCTTGAAATGATCTACTCAACTGAGCAAAAGCATACTTAAATTTCAACAGCCAACGCTGTTTCCTTTTTGTTTTCTTTACCTACTTATTGGTAATTACACAGCAGTATTAGTGTAGAATCCACAACCAATAAACATTAAACGCAAAAATCAGATGCGGAAGATTCGAAAAGTGAGAGGTGGTGTTCTACCTTCCCTTTGACTACAGGTTAAATTAGAAAAATTGACAAAACAGCATCTTGGCTGCTTTTAAACAACGAAAAAAAATTTGTAAACATTGAGACCTCGCTCCGAATGCTTGTTAACTTCAGGACAGTGTCTTTCCATTACTTTGTGACACAGATGACATAGCAAAACTAATAATAAATGACGTCTGGTGAGTTCTTGATTACGAAACTACAGCATTGCCCGAAAATGGATTTGGGAAAACTTGGATAAATGATATTGATAAAATGCAGCATCTCTGCACATATTGAAAATGAATTGCAGTTTACACATCACGTTAACTTATCTTTAATTTGTCTCCCTTAGACGTCAACAAACAAAAGATATATCGCATCCATGAAAATGATATGAAGAGGCGCACGTAATAACACCTCTAAGCTTGAAAGACACCTGTAACAAAACAAACTTTCAACTAACAGGTTGAAAAATAATGGAATAGCTTTCTAAACTAATATCTTTAGTTTTGGTACAAGTAGAATGGCTTTTAGATAAGTGCTTACACTGAGCTTCACGATCGTTCACAACTTTTACGTCATTCATTTCATTATACCTGTTACTTGAGTTAATTCTGTATTCGAAATAGACTCTAAAGTCATAAGAAAATATTAATGAGACCCTAAATTTATATCAAAAAAAGAAATGAC